AAAAAAAAAAAAAAAAAAAAAAAAAAAAAAAAAAAAAAAAAAAAAAAAAAAAAAAATGTAATCTCTCCTCCATTGGTGTTAATAAAAAATGTGAGTATTTCTAAAAATAAAAAAAATAAAAAAAAATAATAATTGTGATGGACATTTATTAATTTAGCCATATTTCTGTCCCTATTCCTTTGGTGTACCAACGCTCAATTTGTTTAACTAATAAAAGAGAAAAGTAAGGCATTGAAAATCGGACAAGGATAAATATTAAACAATGAACAAAATCAAAATTAGATTTAGTGATAAAGAATGATTTTAGTGAGAATATATTAAAATAAAATTATAAAACAATAATAAGAATAATAAGAATAATTGGAAGAATTGAATTAGGGGAAGAGGGGGCACAGTATCGGCCTGCCTATAAATAGATTAAAAGAAGACGGTGGGAGTTGGTTGGTGGGGACCTAAAATTAAGCCTTTGCCCCTTCCTCACTCGCAATTTCATTTTCCTTTTTTTTTATCTTAATTCTTTATTTTTCTTAACAATATTCATTTCAAAATAATGAAAAACCAAAAGATAGCACGATTTCATTTTGAGGTAAAAGATAATTAATATGTATGAGATAAAATTTTGTGTTTGTTTTATATGTAAAATTTAATTAATTAATTAATATGTACGGTATTTTTATTTTTAAGTAGAAGAGAACAAAAGTATCAGGTATGGATCACGTGCAACGCATCGCAGAGTTGGAAAAGTGAAATCTCCACATAATTATTTTCTCATATTTGTTTATTCAGTGACAACTGCCAACACGCATGCAATTTCTTTCTTTCTTTATTTATTTATTTATTTAAACAAAATCTAAATTATCCTACGTGTCATGACACCACCCAACCTACGAATTAACAAATTCCATACTATATATATTTAATACAACATTGAAACACCAAAATTACAAAAACAACTTAATAAAACACACACGCCTCATTCGCACGTGCCAACTCATTTCATTTTTAACTCAACATTTAAATTATATATTTCTTTTTTCTTCCCTCTCCGGTGGGGCCCGTAGTCTCTATATTCTTTCAAATCACTAATAAATGCTGCCTCTGAATTCAACCCCCCACCACTTCTATTTTTCCCTTTCTTTTTTTTTTTTTTCCTCACACAAAAATAATATCTACAACCAACAATAACCAAAACTCCTTGCTGCTTCCTTGGGAATCTGCAGATGCCACTGCCCACTTGTCCCCACCAACAAATTCCTTCCTTTATTTTTATTTTACCCAATTAAAAAAAAAAAAAAAAACATATATTTCACTTATATTATTAATTATATATAGATAATACAATCAAATTATATATATATTTTTTTTGTTTTGAAGATAAAGTTTGGACCACCACCACCACCACCACCACAAAAACCCATCAAAATCTTTTTCTTTCTTTTTAAATTTATTCCTCTGCTCTAAACTTGGAATTTTCTTTGTCATCTTCTTCTACCCACAAGCAATTATTCAACTTCCTCCTTTTATAACCTAACCTTGTTGATGACGACGATGACGATGAGTTGCTGTACCTCAACCCAGCTCGGATTCTCACTCGGAGTTGCGGTATCACTTTCGGGGGCTTTCTACGACCACTCTCTGATGTTGATGGCTGCATTAGTCGATAACACCCAACAATTTTATCCTATAAGAAACAAGAACGTTTAGGTAAATTAACATGGTATGGTTTGAAATGGTGTATTTGACAATGGAGCATGCTCACTTTACTGAGTCCATTGCACCAAGACTCTGCATGTTCAGGATTGAGAAGGGTCAAATTGGGTATTTCATTTGCCGCACAAAGTAAGGCTGCGGCAGCAATGCAGGAAGGCCAGTACTCAAGAAAGCTAGCGTCTGTGATAATAATAATTACCCTTGTTAGAGTACTCTAAATTAAATGCGCCCATTCCTAATCCCAGCTAAGCTAATAATGGGAGTTGATTGATTAATTACCACCTCGAATATTGGAGAGAATGATTTCTGTGGAGCGTGAGATGAGAAAACTGGAAAATGTTCCGGTGGGATCGACTTTGTAGGCGAAGAATCCGATGAAGCTGAAGGGGGTTACGGATCGGAGCCGCCAATCCAATGTTGCAAGTACAAGAAGCTCCATCCTACGTATTGTTCTAGGTTCAAATATATATTTTGCTCCTTCGATCTATGATCATCAATCATAATCCATTTTAATTTTCTTCCAAAATCAGGATTGGAAGGATTTCTCAGACACCACAGCGGTGAAAATGTAAACAAGAGTTACCTGGAGATCCAGGAACGAAGGAACAAGTGGTTCCTCCATTTTAGCTGCAAGTGACAAACAAGCCACTGATAGAAGCTGCAATGGCCACCCATTTGTTTCCTGGAAACAGCGTTTCAATTAAACACAGCCACAAATCAATGTCAAACAATTCGTATATGTTAAATCTGGATTGTTGATTAACGAATTACGAACAGATTTCTCAAGAATCACATTCAGACCAGTGCAGATAAAAGAAAATTACTCGTTATGATCGAAGAGATGACTACTCAGGATAATACCGAACTTTACTGAAGAACATAATCATGATGAGATTTGACACTGATTTTCAATAAAGCGAAAGTGACTTTTACCGGCAAGCGGCGAGAATAAAGGAATCGATCCAAGTAATTGACGGAAAGGTATGCAGTGAGTGGTTGAAAACCGTAATATGCTTGAACCTGGAACAACAAACAACACAAATTCATTACGATTTCAAGAAATTAAATACAGTATTTCACAACAGAGAGGGTTAATTATTGATTGTGGATTAGAGAGAATCAAAAGCCTCCATGGAATCGGAAGTGGAATCCGAATCCGAATCCCTCGATTACCTTCAAGCGTTAGGTTCTGCTCAAAGAAAATTAACCTAGATCCAAGCCTCGAACATCGCCGACGATTTTCCGAGGCGTAATAGCAGAAAAACGAATGAAATTACAAAATCCGATCAGCGAAGAGAGAATAAAACGAATCGAATACCTTGAGAATCCATGCAACAGAGTCAGCTCTTGCGGAGGAATCGAGCGATTGAGAGTGAAAGCGCGACAAGTAATCAATCCCAGGAACGAAGTGCCTCTCGTCCTCTATGAAACTGGCAATAGAATCCTCACTACTGGCAGGCGATTCAAGGTCCGAGGAGTACTCTGGCGACTCTCCGGACAAAATATCGGAGGAGTCCTCGTCACAGAGTAAATGAGAGTCAATAAAGCAGTCTTCGGAAGAAGAGATCGACATGATAGGAACTGAGTATCCTTCATCCTCTTCCAGCCACTGTCATCCTCATCGGATTCCGAAAGACCGCCGGAAACACCGCCGGAGACTTCAAGTGAACCAGAAAAAAAGGTAAAAAACCGTGGGTATGAGTAGCGAGGAAGACGATGAGATGGAGATGGATTTGGATGGGGATTGAAGAAGGGAATTGAGGTGTATATATACAAATTGTAACGGGAAAATTTACATTCCGTTGGGGACAGAACCGTAGGAGCTTGGAGACTCGAACGAAAAAGACCTCTCTTTATTCAGAGTCGTTGTCCGTAATACACTTTTTATTTTTATATATAAATAATTTAAAGGGAAAAATTAATCGTTTCTTGCAAAAATTAAAAACAAAATTTGATTCAATGGACCAGTGTTGAGCTCTGTAATGTAAGGGGCTTTGATAACCTCACCCGCAGGTATAATGGTAGGTGAAGTCTCCATAGATTCTACTGCCACCTGTACTCTACTTCATGATCTTAAACTCTACTTTCTTTGGATATATAGTATTTTTCTACATACTGTTCATCCACCATACAAGAGTATGGTTGCAAAATTTTATTTTTTTATCAAAACCACCAAAGAATAGGAGTCTACATAATATCACAGCAAAATATATAGATATCGTAACGGTGTTCGTACTCATTAATAACAACTTTATTTAAATAATAATAATAATACATATAGATGGCAGTATTTTGAAAATATTTATTTTATAATAATTTTTTTTTTTAATAATTACTGTTAACGGTAATATGTCATGATGTTTCATTTTAATTTTCAAAATTTCAAAGCAAACAAAACACCACAAGTATTAGTCTTCCAACCTCCATGTGTCAGTATTTAATTTACTTATAATGTCAACATTAATTAAATAAAATTAATTAATTGAAGATGAAAGGTCAAAAATCCAAACCTACCTCCTAAATAAATTATGGAATATTTTTCTTAATTTTCTATCTTAGGAAATAATAATAATAATAATAATAAATTAAATTAAGTTAAAATAAATTAAAAAATAATAAATCAAGGATATAATTGCTCCGAACATGCATTAAAAAGGTATAACGCATTTTTTTTCTCAACTACGATTGTAACACTCTAGTCTCAACAAAGATTAGTTTTTCAAATTTTTTCTTTTAAGTTTGAACTTCACGGATTTAATGAGCGTCTTAGAGGCAAAATATTCGAGTTGAGGTAGAACAAAATAATAATTAGAAAAACTTCAAGAGCGGTCACGACCCGATTTTGGGACTTCAAAACTTTGATCGAGACTAAAAAAGACAAAAGCCATAATAAATAAAAATAAGATAAGAAAATATGGTAAAAACTAAAATCTACAGAATGTTGGATAATATGATACTATCTTGCAAAGGAAGACGCCCAAGACACTCACTTACACTATGACACACATGTGCTAGAGGGTAGCTCACTTGAGTCATAGGGCCTAAAGGTGGTGGAAAGCTAACATAATGTCTCCTCTTATAGTACATTCAGTCATATGATCTTTTGGAGTGTCTGTTATGTATCTAATCACAAAGTTTAGAAAACTATCATCTTCACATATATGAACTTAACTCCAGAGCCGCATGTCCAAACTCATGCCGAAACTCTGACTTTTGAGGTTATGGCTCAGACCCTACTCGACTTCCTTCGAGCTTGTTTCTGACACTCTTATTATTATTGTTGCCTCTAATCTTGTGTATGCCTTAGCTTAGCTTTTCTGTACACTCTTTTTGCATATGCCATATCTTGACTTTCATGCACACTCTTCTGGGTGTGTGGGATGATACACTGTTTTCTTCGATCGTATATGACACTTGTCTCAGGCCTCATGCGCGCCAATTGTGTGTTGCCTTCTAACTAACAGACACATGGGATCCCAACCTGCTTTCTTTTGAGCATGATTGTACACAAATTACCTAATTTTCTACTAGTACCATAAAAATATTGAGAAAAAAAAATTAATATAAAAATAAGAATGTTCCCAAGAATTTTATTTTTATTTTTATATCAAACAATCAAGTGTGGTGAAATTCTTTTCGTAAGAAAAATTAAAAATTCAGAAAAAGAAAATAAATCATGGCGTTGCTGGATTCGAACCAGAGACCTTCACTGACGTATAAGATATATCTACAGAAAATTGGATAATGTGATGAACTGCCTTGCAAAACGGCCTCTATCTTCTTCTTCAGTGGAATCATCGTTTATCAGAGCAGAGATGCTCGATTCGCCGCCCCTTCACTGCCGTTTCATCACGACTTGGCCGTCCGCGCCACACAGTCGCCGTAACAACTCCCTTCTTCTCCCAACGCCTTATTACAATCTCCAACCTTGTAATCCAAATTCCACAAAATTCCGCTCACTCCATTTCAGTTTATCTCTTGTTCATGGCCCAAGACCAATGTATTTTCCTGTTTTTTCACTGAAAAAGCGTGGAAAAGGCGGCGTTTCCCTAACTAACCAGAGTGATTCCGACATTGAGTTCGACGGGGACGAGGACTTGGACGGAGATGAGATGCTTTTGCCGTTAGCGAACATGAGAGAGTGGCTTGCGGCGAGGCCTCGTGGATTTGGAGAGGGGAAGGAGTATGACACTTCGATTGAAGAGAAATTGCTACAAGAAATCGAGCAGAGTAGGAAAGCTCAGGCTGCAAATATCAATAAGCTCAAGAGTCAGCCTCCTTCCAACCCCAACTCTAGTAGAAATGTCGTAGATAAAGAAGGTCAGTCTCATTCTCCCTCAATTTTGTAACTCTTTATTCTCATGTCCTGTAGGTAATAGGCAGTGCTTTGTTTCGAGATACTAATCCGTGTGTGTGTAACCAATACCTCCACGAGCGAAAACTATATCATTTGGCTGCTAGATTAGTTTGCTTCCTCTAATCTCTATATAATTTTAGGTTTCTCTCCTACATCGAACGATATAAAATTACCAACTACATTGTTTCAGCTTCTTTGAATAATTTTGCCTCCAAGATTGACTAATGAAGAATTTGATGCCAGTGAATAGGTGTCACAAAGGATTATAGTGTGCTTATCCTTCTCATTAATGGGATATGCCTTCTATTATTGGACAAGAGAATTGGTGACAAAACTCAGCTCAGGAGAGTGATAAAGATGTGACATTGGTGAATTTCATAATCAGTTATGGGTGGACAACTTCATATTAGACAGGAGTCTTTTCCCAAAAGGTGGGAGACTTACCCTTATTCAGTTGGTTCTGAGTGACAATCTGCTCTTTATTTTCCCGCTTATTTTAGTTGTCCTCTTCGAAGAATCTTTCAGTTTTGTCGATATTTTCCATATTGAAGTCTCAACCTTCTCCTTCCTCGGATTTATGTCGTCGGTTGACCAATAGGGATATTTTTGGTTTAAGTCTGATAGGTGAGATATTCGCCTTTGCATTCCTTGTCCTTCGAAAGTCTTTTCTTGTAGCTCTATCTTCCATTGCTTGTCCCATCTTTCCCCTACTAGCAGTTTTGATTTTTCCTCGATTTGAAAGGTGAAGATTTCCAAGAAGGTTATGTTAGTTGTGTGGCAGGTTGTACACATAAGAGTTAACACCTTAGATAGGCTCTCAGCTAGAGGTGCTCTTTTGGTTGTGTCGAGCTGCATTGTCATATTCATTGTAGGAAGGCAGCTGAGGACCTTGACCATATTCTTTAGAGTTGTGATTTTTCTTGGGCCGTTTGGCATGGTATCTTTGAGCTGTTTCACTACATATTCTATACATATTCTCTACATATTCTCTAGTTCTTAGTCACCCATAAAAAAGCATACAGTTGTCCCAATCTTATCAATAAAAAGCCAGCCTACAAGCATTGAAAAATATTAAGGCACCATGATGGGGCTGGCAGGGTATTCTTGGTGTGGTAGTTGGATGACAGTCTGCCCTTTACAGGTCGAAGTTTCTCTAGCTAGCCAAAATGCTTTGAGCTATGTGCATTGCACTTTTCTCCAATTGAGATACAATTATCCCCAAAAAGTTGTTTTGCTCTATTAGTGAATGTGCAGAAGCCAATTTCTTGCATAATATTTGCCACGATGCCTATCCTTGACTTCTTGCATTCTGTCATATATGGTTTATGAAAGTTAAGCTAAGCTAAAATGAGGGATCAATCATGGTCACTTTAGTTGTTATGTCACATCAGCTTCCTTATTCCAGCCGATCGATTTTTCTTAAGTTGCGGGTCCACTTTAACCTTGTTAAACCAAGGAACTGTTTTTAGTTCTTTGAAAATCTTGGGGTTGATCAATTCAATGTATAGCTTAGAAGGGCTTTCTACCACCTCTTGCCAGAATGATTTGGTCTGGGCTGGGTAGAACACGTTTTTTCGCATTGGCATAAAAAATTATGCATTGATAAGTCTTTATCCAAGCGTAGATGGTCCGTGTGTCACTCCAATTTGCTGCTGTAGATCAAGATGTATCATCAAAGAAACCAATAAATAGTAATGTAAAATCTCCAAGAGCTATCTAATTTCAGTTAGAATCATGTTTTGAACGTAACTTATTCTCATTAATGCACAAAATCAACCATTGTAGCTCTACCAAAATTCACATATCAAAAAAGAAAAGAAAAACAGTTCTATTGTCGTTTTCATTGGAGGCCCGTATCGAGTAGAATATGCTGAGCCTCCAAGTTTTAGGTGCAATTTTATGAAATTGAAAGTTTAGGGTAAATTGGTATGCATTGAAAAGTTCATGTGTCAAAATTGAATTTTCCAAAAAATAAATTTGCCACAAGTCATAGTATTAGAGTCTTATTATTACCCTGATATAATTGTGAAAAAGTGAATATCGTCTGATCACGTCCTGTCTGATTTTTAGCCAGACTGTTGCACGAAATCTACTCAGGACTTGTATAATGGCTAATTATGAATGAACTTTTGTCATTCTAATTCTTAAATTGATCTAACCTCGAGTATCATGCATTTCTTCAGCTCCAGAAATTGCTAATACTGGAGTTCGTGTACGCGTTATCAACCTTCCTAAAAAAAGGAACATTCACAGAGATCTGATGTTGGCTTTCAAAGGGTTTCCTGGAATAGTCAATATAACTCCTGCAGTCATTGGAAACAAAAAGACTAGGGATCCAATCTGCAAGGGTTTTGCATTTGTTGATTGCAAGTCTGAAGGAGACGCCATCAGGTATGTTTTTGGATAATAAGAAACTATAGAACCAATGAAAATTTCTCTTATCTTTTTCATATGCAAGTTAGCTTCAAAATACCAAACTTATTTAGTCAAGAAAGGTAGCACTGCCGCA